ACTTCAGGTGCAACATAAGGTAAAATACCACAAATATTTCCTTCATTTTCATTTTCGGAAGAAAGTCCTAGATCTGTGATGTAAGCGCCACCTAAATTTTCTTGCAAAATATTGCCACTATGTAAATCTCGATGAACAAGTTCTTGAGAATGTATGGATTCAAGATCTGAAGCAATACAGTACATTATATTCAACTTGTCTTTCCATCCTAATTGAGACACTGATTTGAGATTCTGACGTAATGATCCTTTACTTGCATATTCCAAGACAATGATATAATCTTTAGTTGTAACATCTCTTGATATACCATGACATCCTAAAAACGATGGATTTTCGTAACCTATATCGCAATAATTCTTTAATTCTTGAACGAAATTTGTAACATTTTTGTTCGAACCGTGAATGAGTTTAAGCGCAACTGTTTTATAAATATTATCATTTTTATTATACCAATACGCATAAAATACAGTAGCGAATCCGCCTTTTCCTATTTCTCGTATATATTTGAATTCATCGTAATTAATCCATGATAATTTATAATTTTCATCATTCAATATTTTTTTAAGACTATTATAAATATCTCCACATGATGATTTATTAGTTTTTTTAAGACTTCTTTCTTTTCGATACCAATGATTAGCTCTTTGAATATCTCTTTGTACTCCAAATCCATTTCGATAACAACGACTGAGATTAGATATTCCACGAATATCATTCATATCAGCTGCCTTTTTGAAGTATTCGAACGCTTTGTGTTCATTCTTCTCGACTCCCGTTCCATATTGATAGCAATTACCGAGATTATTCATTCCAATAGTATGTCCCATATCAGCAGATTTTTTATAATAAATGAATGCTTTATGTTCATCCTTTTCAACACCGACACCATTGTCATAACAGTTACCAAGTGCCAATGTTCCATTAGCATGACCCATATCAGCAGATTTTTGATAATAAATGAATGCCTTATGTTCATCCTTTTCAATTCCGATTCCTTTTTCATAACAATAACCAACCATATATGTTCCTTTATCGTGACCCATATCAGCAGATTTTTGATAATAAATGAATGCTTTATGTTCATCTTTTTCAATTCCACATCCAATTCCATAACAATAACCAACATCAAATGTTCCATCAACATGACCCATATCAGCGGCTTTTTGATAATAGACGAATGCCTCATGTTTATTTATCTCGACACCAGTTCCGTAATAATATTTTTCACCTAGTCTGTATAATTCGTCTGCTTTCATTTTTTAAGTATGTGACTGCTTCCGTTTGTTTTTTTTCGTTATAAATACTTACATTGTACGACGTTTCATAATAAAAAGTTATGCATAATTTGTATCACATAGTAAATAAATAAAATACCTTACTATAACGATAATATATAACGGATAAAAAGTCCTGAATCTTTATTTTTAATTTTAATGATTTTATATTTGTGGTTCCAAATCTTTAAAGATTTTTCTAAAGACTTATTAGGATAAACACAAATAATACGAATCTTTTAAAAGTAAAGTTCACCACTCAGTTCCTTTTCTATAAAAAAAAAAAAAAACAATTTTAAACTAAATAACCAATCCGATTTTAAACTAAATCAACAATTCATGATAGACGAATAGTTCTCAAAATATACGGTTTACTGTATTAAACGTTTAAGACTCGAATAATATTATCGAATATAGTAAGTAATATTGATTTAAACTCTAATAAATATTATACTGTATAATTTTACAATACGACTTTTAATAAAATTTAATCAATAATTGAATTTATTTGAGAGTAAAATTCACTGGCATATGTTTTGCCTTTTATTATAAGTTTTATAAATAAATTTTTATTTCTTTAAAATTAGGTTTAGGTTTAGGGTTTTTTAGATACTTCATCATAATTCATGATTACCTTAAATGTAATACTAGTAATTTTACTAAATATGATAATAATATGATTATTATACGTATAATACGCAGTTATCTAATTAAAAGATTAAAAAATAATTGCCAACAGCTGATAAAAAGCTATTTAAAATTTTTTACACTTAGTTTTACAAATTTAAACATAAAATTTAGAATCTAGTTATAATTAAATTTTAAAAACTACAAATTATATATAATTTTATATTAGAAATTTTTTGTTAATAAGCAAACTATAGTTTACTTAATAAACTTTTTATTTACAAGTAATTTTTTATAAAAGTCTAATTTTTTGAATTTTTTTATTATAAAATATAATTTATTTTTTTACTAATAAATTATATAATAATAGTTATTAGTTATAATAAAAAAATTATTATTATTAGTTAATAAGTTATTAATAATTAATTATATTTTTTTAAAAAATAAATTATTTTATTAATATTATTGGATGGAGCTGAGTGGAGCGAAGTGAAAACCTTAAAGCCTTGAAATTTCACAATGTCTGGCTCCTGGTTCACTGATCCTATTTAGGTTTAGCTTGAGCCTAAATTAGGCTATTAATGTTGATAATTCATTCCAAAATTTCCCATTATCTCCAGAATTACCAAATAACATAGATTTCGACATTTCAATGCTCCCATTACAAAATTGCCCGTTATCCCCATTATCTCCTGATTTTTTTAATAATCTAAATATCAACGATAATTCTTCAATCCTTTCAGGTTTATTTTGTGAATATCGATATGAATTCCAATGTTTTCCAACTTTATCCCGATTATGACTTTTTTTATCTTTATGAAAATGAAATTATCGATAACCAACTGTTACAAGATTTTACGAATTTTGATGCTCATCAACACTTTCGCCCTCGTTAATTGTTACCAAGTCGTCGTTTCTTTTTTTTTTTTAAAAAAAAAACTTAAGTCGCAACTTATTTGTTATGCTTATCAATATATGATCATATATCCCCCCTCTAAGAATATTAAATCCATATGATATCAATTAAGATCGTTTTAAACATTTATGCTATTTTATATCATATGTCTCATTTTTTATATCTTATATCTTATTTTCTATATTTTATGTCTTATTTCTTATGTAATCTTATTTCTTATGTCTTATTTTTATGTCTTATTTCTTATGTATTATTTCTTATTTTTTATATCTTATTATTTATGTCTTATTTCTTATTTATGACTTAAGAAAAAAGAAAGATTATGAATATATGCAAAAAAACGAGAGAATATGAAAAAAGTCAAAATAAGTGATTTAAAGGATTTTTCAATTTATTTGAAAGTTTTTTTTTTATTGTAGTTTTATATAAATAAGCTCTATTGTTTACATATTTGTATTTAATTCTTTAATTTAAATCAAAGTTTATAATATCGCTATCGTTTACATTATACTGTATATGACGTAAGTAATTGACTAAACTTCTAGCCGCAAACAAAATTTACAGAAGTTTCACCCCCTCGTGATTTACCAATAATAAATGAATGTTCAAAATAAACTATAACGATAAAATTAAAAATCTAAAGTAATTAAAATAGAAGATTCAAATTTAACAATAAAACGAGTAAGATAAAAAAAGAATAAGAATTATATATACATATCAATATACTCTTTTATAGAAAATACAAATTTATTTATTTACCTTTTTGTTTTTAACCGTTAAAGTTTTCCTGCTCAGTCAATTTTTTATGTAGTCGAGTACTGTTTCTAGTTATATTTAGGGTTACGATCAGTTAAAAAATCACCCAGATTTTATAATTTGAATCTATTTTAATCTCTAATTTAGATTTTACGAATACAAAAGCAATCTATTTAATACAATACCGGATGTACGTTTTAACTAATTAAGACCAGTGTGTAAAATTTGAATTATCAATAATGTTCTCACAAGAACATACATTTTTGAAATTTTTATGTTCTCACATAAATGTATCTAAATTTTTATGTTCTCGCACACCGATTAAGGGTGTTCTCAAGCACCCTAAATCATACCTAAATCAATGGATCGGAGATCAATATGAAAAATAATTTTCCACCATATAATTAAAAACGGATCCATTGATTTAATTCCAATTTATTTCATATAAAATAATTTGCTAAGTATTAACTAATTAATTTTTTTTCATTAAAATTTTTTTTATATTCAAAATAATCAAGATCTATTGATCCTATTAAAAAGCTTCTATTTTAATGAGCCAATATACAAATAGGTTAATATCCGTAGTATAGTCTAATCTCTATATCCCTATAAGAAAAGTGCACTGGCTTGAGTGGCACGGGGCAAGGTCTGTAGTTGCACGTGCATGGTCTGGAATTGATGGACCAATTTGGCGGAGCGTCTACGGGCACGTACCAATTCACGTACCCTAACTTTAGGTAAGTAGATTAACATGTGACAGGTTTTAGAGTTATATAATAGTTACGTGCATATTCATGTGATTGGTACGTGCCCGTAGACGCTCCGCCAATTTGGACGTATACCCGTGTTCAAAGTGCACGTGGAAATACTTAGATCGACGTGTTTTTTGCAGCACTTTACTAAGCCAATTGGCACTGGATATGGCACGGATATGGAACGGGTAGTTTTAAACGTAAAAATTTTTTATTTGGCAGTAAATTTGATAGTAATTAGAGTATGATCATGTCTAGTAGAAGGCGATAAATGAGAACGCCTATAGTAAAATTTTGCAATGAATTTTTCTTGTTAAGGCACCATGAGCAATTTCATAGGTGAAATTTTGAGATATGAACGACTTTTTAAAAAAAGCGATTGTTTTAAAATTTTCGCATTACACAAGATCCTATGCTCCTATTGGCAACGGTTTTAATCTGACGCAAGTTTTAATCTGAGCATAATGGAAGTTGGTTTTTATTGGTTGTTTATTTTCTATTGAAAAGTACTGTTACACGAACTTTTTACATAGGTTTACAATAGAAAATTTAATTCGAATTGGAACAAGTCAAAATTTTTTATAATGAAGATTTTTTAAAATTTCGCCAGATTGTTTTTTAGAAATATAGCTTTTATAAAAACGTATAAAAACGTTTGAGATCAAGATCAATTTTGCCACCAACTTTTACTAGAAGCGATTCTGACAATGCCAGTATGTAACGCAAAGAAATTACATTAATTTTTGGCATTTTAAAACGAAATAGCTAATAAAAATCTACAGTTTTTTCGATATCAATCGGTCAATCGGTTTTACAAAAAACCATAAAGGGGTATCGCGAGATAACGTGAGGTTAATCTTTAGTTTTAACCAATCAAATTTTGTTATTTATAAAATGTCGAGCATTTTTTTGGCAATTTCCTGAAATATGATTGGCCGATTTATAGTACCTAGGGATGGGCCGCTGCGCAGGCGGAATATACCGGAAGGCCGGAATATACCGTAGACCGAAATTTAGAAATTTTGGCCTGCATTAGCCATAATGCAGGCCCGTGAAGGTTGCGCAGGCTGCGCAGTATTTTCAAAAAATCTTCGATTTGCCCATCCCTAATAGTACCCGATGATCATAGAATGATAAAATATCCCGTGGCTCCTAACTGTCTGTTTTTTTATTAATTTTGGACAACTAATAATAAGATTTTTAATTCGATATTTTAAAATTTGGTAAATTAACTAACCCTTCTCAAGAAAAACTAATTATTGATTGATCTGTCTGTTCAATTTATAATAATCTGAATGGTCAGTTACAGGTATCATAATTATAACTCAAAAACACGGACATAAGAATGTGCCAGTTAGTTAGTATTTAATATAATTATTCTTTAAGATTATTTAATCTAAAGATTACTTATTATTTTTCGCCATTCTAAAATATTTTCGACATCCTAAAATATTTCTGAACATCCTAAAATATATATAAATAATTTTTGTAACCTGAATTATTTTAGTCATTATAAATGATTTACGGTTTAGACATCATTTTGGTTCATGGGAACTTTCATTCAACCAATTTCCGGATAATTCCTTACTATCTAAAATAATTTTCGCATTTTAATTTTCTCCATAAGCAAAATAATTTCGACCCCCATGTATAGTTACATAATTACTGTTTCATAGTCTACCTTTTGCTATAGCTCGATTTATTTCGAATGTCTTGCTGTGCCGTTAAAATCCCACGCCCATATAAAAAACGAAAGATATATTCTTCGTAATATTAAAATAGTTGAATGAAAAACTCGAAATAGTAATTTTTTTTTAGATAAGAATTTATTAATAGAGCACAGCCCCTTAAACGACTTGCATATAATGCATGCAAAACTATTATGGTTATACACGATCACAAATTGAACTTAAAAAAATTCTAAAAATTTTTATTCTATGCTTTCACTTAGGATAATTAAGTTACAATATTAATCGAAGGTATACAATCAATCTAAGGGGGGCATTTTATACAAAGAAATTTAAACTTTAAATTCTGTAGATATTTTTCTTAAAATAAGATATACAGGTATAGTAAATGATTTCTATTTTAAAGTTACGGATTATTTATTCCGTAACATAAAAACGATTCATGTAAAGATACAATTCACTAAATGCCTAAAATTACATTCGTCTCCCAAACAAGTAACATTATGATCGCACCATATTAAACTTATTTCCTACCGTTACGTTTATGTTTTAATCTTTATACAATTTAATTACTATTTACGTTTAGGGTTACAATAATTTATTAACCACTTTTTTATTTATAAATATCTCGGTTAACTTGCCTCCCAGAAATAAAAAGTTCTCTTTACATTGTTGTCACGGGAGCTAATAACTAAAGTTAAAAAAAAATAATTTGAATAAAATAAAATAATGTCGCGACTTATTTTTCTTACGATATTCTTGGTTTTTATTGGTTTCACTTCGGCCCGTAAGTTAATTTACTTTATTAATTTTTTTTTATACGTTATTTAAAGCAATTTGAATAGCTAAGTAGGGATGTTATTCGACTTATCCAATTTCTTAATGTTAATTATAAATTAAGTTATATGCTTAAAAAAATTTTCACATATGTGAATAATTCTAATTTATTTCGTAAAGAAAGTCGGATAATTAGAATAATTATAGCTAAAGGGCATAAAATACGACTAATTCAAATTAAATGTATTATGCGAATTTAACATTATACCTATATTTTCAGAGGTTACCTCGGTTAAAGCAGCTCCTTCTAGTGTTATAGTTGGTTCCCCCGTTACATGTACTTGGAACTACACTGGGGCAGCGGCCACAGGCAATTTAAGTCTTGTCGATGAAACAACTAAAGCCGCAACTGTAATTAGCTCCGCAATAAACCTCACAAGTCTAAGTTACTCATATCAGACTACTACCCCGGGCGATTTTTGGTTTAGTTTAAGTGATGGGACTAGTAATTCGCTCTCTAACGTCTTTCATGTCTTGACTCCCGCACAAGCTAGTGCTAGTTCCACCGGAGCTCCATCTCCCTCTGACACATCTTCCCCCAATGGGGGATCTCCCGGTTCATCAGCCAAAAAAAGTGCTGCTTCGTAAGTATTTCTTTTACGACTTTGACTCAAGTTCTAAAGCGCATAAATAATCCGTTTTTAATAATATAATTTATATTTTCTAGGGCTAAATCAAGCTTCACTGTATCAAATAAACTTCTGATTGGTCTTATTATGATTGTAACAGTAATGATGTTCTTTGCCTAAAATTATTATTTTAGAAAATTTCTTATGACTACGTACCCTGCAGATATTACATAATATCTGATATAATAATATTATTAGAATTTAATTCTTCGCTAATTTTTTTTAGTCTTACCAAAAATTAATTGATTTGTAGAAATTCGTTATAAAATGTAATTTTTGCTTACTTTAAATCTGCCACTTGACTCTAATAATATCGATAATATATTATTAGAATACGTATAATATTATGAATAAATAGTAAAATTTATCAATAAATATTTCCTTGTTTTCATTTAGTTACACTAAAAAATTTAATGATATCAATATATTATATTAATTATAAATGAGATTAGTGCATTATATAATTTTTTGTACACAAATAAATCAAATTATATTTACTCGAATTTAATTCTTGTACCAAAATAAACCAAATATCATACGTATTTAACAACGAAAATAAACCAAATATCATATTTACACAATATCATATTTATATCATATAAATATTTGTTATATGAATTACATTACTTGTACACCTAAGTAACGTTATATGTCACTTTGAAATTCATGTTAATATTTGATTATGATAGGATTATGATACCGATTAAAAAGAAAAAAAAATCAAGAAAAAAAAAATAAACGTTAAACATCATTCTAACGCTACATTTATTGTTATGGTTTTAGTTTTGTGTAAGAGGCTGACGTGACGGCACAAAGCCTCTTGCAAGTCAGGTTTCTTAAGATAATAAAATAAGCTGTCTCATTTAATAAAAAAGAGGGGTTTTTCGTCCTTCCTCATAAGTGATATAAAATAATAATATATAGTAATGATTTATTCCTAACTATCATTGATATTTGAATCTCATCTGACTTTAATGAGATCTAATTATTCTCGCTCGAAGATCAATAGCAAAAGAAGACTCATTTATTAACATAGTACGAGGATAAGTTGCTGACAAGCCCAACAACTACAATGATCTACTAATTTGTCTTTCTTCCCTGTAATCTCACTGCAATCAGTTTCTTAAGGTGCGGGTGTACGCAGCCTTATCAATTTCTTTAATCAAATGCGGTAGCGTGGGGTTTTCACAGATTGCAGCAGCATATCTAATTTTCCTATAAAGGGGCACCTGATCTGATACTAGATTGATTTGATATGGATCGGTCTTGCAATAATGATCGCTCCCGTGACTTTGTCACGTTATCTTGTAAGTTGCTACGTATTTTTCTTAATACTACGTGGTAATCAGTGTTATTAAAATTTACCGGAATTTTACTGCGCTACCGTTGCACACATAATACACAACCACGACATCATAGTACTTACAAGTACTGTACATTATATTTACATCATGGGCTATAATGATATTGTTTGTTGAATTTTGAATAATTGCATTACTTTTAATCATGTATAGTAGTCATGTCAAATTTGTTCGGGATAACTTCAATTGACGAATAACTTGTTTGAAAAAATTTATGGACTACGATTAAAAACTCTATGAAGAAATTCTTAAGAACAATCAACATCAACATGGTAATAAAGATCTGAAAAATGTTTCAAACTGAATAATTTATAAGAAAATAATTGGTTCTGAAAAAATAAATGAACTAATAAAGACTCTTTGCAAAAACACCACACTAACTTCTTTGAATCTTTTTTATACTAAACTTTATTAGAGCGAGGAAAAGAAATACCAAATCCAGATGCTCCTTGTAAAAATACACCTGACTTCTCTGAGTTTTAGATCGAATAAACTTAGATCAGAAGAGGGAAAGCAATAGCAAATGCACTTTATAAAAACATCACACTGACTTTTTTTGAATCTTAGATATAATAGCTTGAATCAGAGGGAAAGAAAGCAATAACAGATACACTTTGCAAAACATCATCCTGACTTCTTAAAATCTGTATAATAAAAAACTCGAATAAGAGAGAATAAAAGCAATAGTGGATGTACTTGCAAAAACATAACTCTGACTTCTTTGGGCCTTCGCGATACTGAGGGAGCAAAAGCATTAGCAGATGTACTTTGCAAGAATATCACTTTGAATTCTTTGAATATTGAACGTAATAAATTTGTATCATAAAAGGGAAAGACATTACTTTGCAAAAACATTACCCGACTTCTTTGAATCAGAGGGGGAAATGCACTAGCGGATGCATTTTGCAAAAACATCACACTGACCTCTTTAATCTTTGAGGAATTTTTTAAGATCAGAGGGAGGAAAAGCAATAGCTGATGCACTTTGCAAAACACCTTGATTTTTTGTACTGAATACAATAAATTTGGATCAAAGGAAGGAAATGCATTAACAGATACATTTTGTAAAAACGCCACACTGACGATTTTGGTTATATAATAATCTTGAATAAGAGAGAGGAAAAACAATAGCGGATGTACTTTGCAATAACACATCCCTGACTCATTTGAATCTTGGAGCGAATGAGCTTAGATTAGAGGGAGGAAAAGCAATAACTTAACCCAGACTTCTTTGGAATCGATGGTGCAAAAACATTAGCAGATACATTTTGCAAGAACACCACTTTGAATTTTTCGAATCTTGAATGTAATAAACTTAAATCCTATATAAATGTATTAGATCTAAGGACCAAATAATTTAAGTCTTTATCAGTTCTTGCTGTCCTTTCAAGTGGAGTGTCTAGGATTTTGCGCGATTTTCAGATGTCTGCAGTGACATATAATAATAATAATAAATCAAACAAAAAGAAAATCTAATTGTACACACAATATATTTTATCTACCAATAATTTATTATTCTGCGCGCAGACTAAAAACGAATTCTATGCAGATTCTGCCATCGAAGATTTCTGGACACTCTACTTTCAAGTACTCGGTCCCAAAGGATCAATTTACATTTATAATTTGTCTATAAGATGCTATAAAAACTCTTGAATTAACTATTAACACGTTAAAAGAACGTGCATAAAGCTAGCTTTTTTATATATAATATTATTTAAAATGATACTATCTTTAAATTTCAAAATTTTATGTTTTTTGTATTAGAGATTTTAATGCTTTGACACTATCTGAATTAAGATTCAAGAACTTAACTAACTTGTCAAAAGAAGATTTATACTTTTTAGTTCTGTATGAAATTGAATTCTTTGATTCTATTATCAACAATCTATTTATATCTGCAAAGGCTTTATCATAGAATTTTACCTTGCAATAAGCTTGAACACGACACTTTAATGCAGTGACATTATCGGACTCAATTTCCAGCGATTTATTCAACTCCTTAATAGATTCTTCGTAACGATTTAGCATATAATATGTTTGTCCTCGAGACTTAACGAAATTGCATTATTTGGATCAATTTCTATTGATCTATTCAAATCTGCAAAAGAATCTTTATAATTTTTTAACTTATAATACGTTTGTCCTCGAGATCTAAGTGCAAAAGAATTATCTGGCTCTATTTCTAATGACTTAGTTAAATCATTAAGTGATTCGTTATATTGTCCAACATTATAATATACTTGTCCCCGAGATCTTAGAGATTCTGCATTTTCTGGTTCAATATTTAATGCATTATTCAAATCCCTAAGAGATTTTTCATATTTTCCAAGCATATAATATGCTTGACCTCGTGTTTTTAATGCGTTAATATTTTCTGGTTCAATATCTAATAACTTTGTTAAACAATCCTTAGATTTCTTATATTCTCCTAGTTTATAGTATGATTGTCCTTGAGTCAATAATGCAATTGTATTCTTTGGATCAATTTTCAATGAATTTGTTGAATCTTTAAGGGACTCTGCAAATTTATTTATTTTATAATAAGTTAGTCCTCTATATCCTAATGTAATTGCATTATCCGGATCAAATTTTAATGATTTAGTTAAATCTGCAAGTGACTCTTCGAAACGATTTAGCATAGAATATGTTTTTCCTCGATATCTTAGAGTATCTGGGTCATTTAAATCCTTTTCTGATGATTTATTTAAATCTGCAAGTGATTCTTCATAACGTTTTAGCATGTAGAGTGTTTGCCCTCGAAATATTAGTATATCTGAGTTATCTGAATCTTTTTCTAATGATTTATTTAAATCTGCAAGTGATTCTTCGTAACGTTTTAACATGTAGAGTGTTCGTCCTCGAAATATTAGTGCAACTGCATGATCCGGTTCCAATGTTAATGATTTAGATAAATCTGCAAGTGATTCTTCATATCGATTTAGCATGCAGTATATTCGCCCTCTATATATTAGAGAAACTATATCGTTATCTAAAAAGCTTAATAATTTGGTTAAATCTGCGAGTGATTTTTCATAATTTTTTAGTTTAAAATAGGTTAATCCTCGAAACTTTAACGATTCTGCATCATTAGAACTATTCTTTAGTGATTTGCTTAAATATTCGAGTGCTCCTTCATAGTTATTCGCCTCATAAAAAATTAGACCTTGAGATTTTAATTCCGTTGCATCAAGTGAACTTTTAGAAGAACGTAATCGATTTATTATTGAAGTTATTTTGTTCAAGCTAGGTTCTTTAAATATCTGTGCAGATGGTCCAACGGATAACAAGCTAGGTTCTTTAAATATCTGTGCAGATGGTCCAACGGATAACAAGCTAGGTTCTTTAAATGTCTGTGCAGATGGTCCAACGGATAACAATGTAGGTGTATTATTCTTGGTTAAAACAGGCAGAGGTAGTCGATTTTGATTTATAATAAACTCAACTTCCGTTTCTGATATTTTATCAAGGGTTGCCGAAATTTCGTCTAGCGTTGGCCGTTTATCTGGATCAACGTCCCAACATTTTTCATAGAGCTCAGCGTAATTTGATGGTGTACCAGGAATTGTTTCCTCTCGATAGCCTTGTAATATCTGTATACATATGGCAAATTTATTGATAGCACTTGCAAATGGTTCAATGCCACTTGTAAGTTCCCAGAAAATCATACCTAAACTATAAATATCAGATTTTTCGTCACATTTTTTTTCAGGATTAATATGGCATTGTGGGTCAATATAAGCAGGAACCCCATGTGAAGATGAAGCTGAAGCTGAAGAGATCATGCTATCATTCATTTTTCTTGCTAATCCAAAATCTGCAATTAAAAATTCGCCGTCATGTATTAAGACATTTTTAGGATGCTAAAATAA